TTCAGCTATATCTGGTTCATAGTCATCTTCATCTTCAACTGCAAGTGGGACAGGTTCTGATGTGTCAAGTCCAGGAACTGCAACATCATGCCATTCATCATGGTCACGTCTCACCTTCGATTGATTAACACGCATGACTGCGTTGTCAACATGAACATTGACCATAGCACCTTCCTGAGAGATAACAGTACCTCTGATCCATCTTTCCTTCTTCCATGCCTTTGAAGCAATAGCATTAGCATTGACAGGGGAACTCCAAACGAAAACCTTGTCACCTGGTTTGTAAGGTCCATCTGATGGCATTGTTCGTTTGGCCATGTCATGTCTGAGGTCGGCAGCTTGTCTGGCTTCCTGATGTGCCCTCAGTGCTAACCTTTGCAACTCGAGTTGTGTTTTGTCTTCAGGTAAAGGATCAACACTAAGTTGAGCAGGATCAGAAGTCTCAATGTCCAGAAGATCTGGTGGTCTTCTACCAGTGGCAATTTCCAAAGGAGAATAACCACTAACAGTGAGTTGAGTGTTTCTGGCCCAAACAGTACGCTTCACAGCTTCTCTGATGGTGATTCCCTTGAACCTATCATCTTCAAGGTTCTTGGACATGATTTGCCATTGTCGTTTGAAAAGTCTGACAGCTGATTCAGCTCTGTTAGGCCATGGGGTTCTTGAACCACAGGGACATTCCTTGATACCATGAGTTCGGTAATAAGTCAGAAAGTCTTCTTGGAAGAATGCTTCATCACCTACGATGGCTTTCGGCATACAATTGTGTTCATCAGTCCACAACCTTAGAGCCTGAATGGTCTCCTTGTTGTTCAGTGAGTTTTGTGCCGTAGCCCAAAGTAAGTTGGTTGCACCATCAAGAACAAGCAACACCATGTACTTGTTCTTCCTCAACTGAATTTCAGCATGATCAACAAAGATAACATCTCCAAAGTTGGTGGATCGTATGCCTGAAATTCTGGCTCGCGGCGGTGGTGCAATTGAAGTACTACACACACGACACTTGTTGTACATTTCTTCATACTTCTCATAGACAGAGTCAGGAAGTCCTAACATGGAAGTCCTTCGTCTGAATTGAGTAGGAGACATGTGATAGTGTTTGATGTGAAGTTTGTAAAGTTCCACACTATCCTCCAGTTTCCTGAGCATCTTTCTGTATGCTGGTGTCATGGCTTGCACTTCACTACCAGGCAGTGGAATCGAAACTCGTCTAGGCTCAAGAGCATCACTACCTAGTTTCTCAACTTGACTTTCTGAATCTTGCTTACCACGGTTGCGCGCAGGTGCAGAAGGTTTTGGTTCAATGACTTGAGGTTCATCTGTATCAATTTTGTCCAAACCTAACTCCCTAGCTCTTATGTCAAGTTCATCTTCCTCATCAAGCTTGGGATAGGAGACAACAACCTTCTTTCTTGATGAACCTGATTGAGAGTCATCGACAACATGAGGTTTCTGCTTACCTACGTGTCTCTTGGCTGCAGGTGGACCTACCTCAATCTTTTTCGAGCCTGGTCCTTTCGAAATCGGGTTGCCTGCCTCCTTCTTTAAGGAGCTTGGCTTTTTCTTCTGTACACCTGATGGCGCTGAAGAGGCTGACTCAGGGTGAAAAAGATCATCAATGTTTCCACGAAAGGGCTTTGCACGATCAATGTCACTTCTGACAATGTCATCTGGGATCACGTAGTCCTCCTTGATCTTGTAGATGGTCTTGCCCTTCCAGAACTCTTCACTCTGTTCAGAAAACCTCTTCTTCTCTGTGCGCCAGTTGTCCTTGTGAAGAACCTTCTTCTTGCTCTTCTGGAATTCCATGTGTGTCTCTCTCTCATCTAGAAGTTGATCTTTTGGAATTGGAGTTTTCTCTGATCGAGTCATCTCATGTAAGTTCATTCTCTTGTCCTTGTGGTGCCTGATGAGTTCACGACGTAGTGGATCCACTTGCCAATAGTCGCCAGTCACCAAAGCTTCTTCTTCATGAACATCTTGTTTGACAGCAATCTGGCTGTACTCAAAGTGATCGTGTTGTGAAAAGAAACTCTTGACTTGAGGAGTCTTGAAATGAACTTGGCTCATGTACCATGCTACAGCTTGTAGGTCGAGAATGAGATGAGTACTGATGGCTGTCCTCAAAACCATTTTTCTCATGCCAATACGTGCACAGGACAAATAAGCCTTCTCTGGAGTAAGTTCAAATTGAAATCCAAGGTTTCTCATCTGTGGAAGTGACATCAACAATGGGACATCACCTTCTTCGACAATGTCGAATTCTGTAAACTGAGTGTTCCATCCATGATCATACATGAATATCACGAGCTTCTCAGTACATTTGGATTGTTGTGAATTTGCAAAGAAGAATCTTGAACTTGTTGGCTGAATTTCATACCAGAGTCCACTGTTGGGATGTGAGTCAACATATCTGCAAAATGCTTCAACTGCTCGTCGAGAGCCCATAGCTCTTGTGCATCCAAGATCCAGAATACACACAGTTGGTGGTGCAGAATTCTCTGTGTGAAAAGCTAGTCCATTCTCACATGCCAGATCAGTCTGTATAGTATGAAATGAAAAAGCACTCTGCTGTGATGGTTCCTCTATCTCTGTAGAGCATCCATATGAAAACAATGATGTGCCTTTTGCCAATGGCTTCCATGAAGCCTCACCTTCTTGAAGACCAACTTGCCTGGGCACACGAGCTGGACGTCGTTGTACACCTTGTCGAAGTGCATCAACTTCTCCAATCAGAACAGGGAATCTTTTCATTTCCTTCCTGTTTTGATGTGCTGTTGCATCACGTTGGTTCTGTCCTCCACGACGAGTGCGTCGTTGTACTTCTTGTTGTTCATACGTGGATGTCAAAACATCAACACGTGCTGGCTCTGTCTCTGCAACATCAACACGTAATGGGTCAGTTCTTCCAAATGCAAAGAAACCATGACCAGAACTTGATGCCGCAGAAGAATAATGAGCTTGTTGGGTTTGTTGATTCTGTATGGCAGGAACTGATGTGGTCTGAGGTTGAACATAGTTCGACTTGCCTTTTCCATCTCCTGGCTTTCCTCCTTTGCCATCATCATCCTTGCCTTTCTTGCCTTTCCTTTCCTTTTCCTTTTCCTTTCCTCTGGAAGTATCCATACTCATCCATGTAGTATGAATCATCATAGGCCCAATAGCCTTCATTCCAGGTTTGATCATCGGCCCAATAGCCGTCATAGTTTTCATTCCATTCTTCTTCTTGCCAATCTTCTTCATAACCTTCTTCACTCACCATGTGAGCACGGCCTTTCCTTCTTCCTTTTCCTCGGCCTTTTCCTTTCCTTGATCTGAAGAACCTTCGTCCTCCTCTGCCTTTTCCTTTTCCTTTTCTCTTTCCTTTACCTTTGCCTCGTCTGATGTATTTGCCTTGGAACCTTCTCTGATACCATGTGAAGTTGGCGTCATCATAAACCCAGAAAACATCTTCTAAAGCATCCAGGAATCCTTCTGCGCCGTCTTCTTCATCCTCGGCCCAATAGCCGTCGGTTCCTTCTAATTCACCTTCATCCAGTACGAGGAAAGATCTTCTCTGTGCCATGCCAGAGGGTTGCATCAATGGATTGTCAACTGCTGTTTTGGTAGTGCAAAACATTTCCAAAAACAGGTCACGTAGTTCTTGAATATTGTATTGATCGAGGGTTCGTCCACGATGTGTCATGATACTTGTGAGTGTATTTCTCTGATCTTGACTCAGGTCAGCTAGACTTACAAAAATCAATGCTAGCAAATTTTCACCCAGTGGGAATGCTTGTCTTTGTACTTGTCTACGCTGCTCATTATACTGTCTGAATGCCACTAATGCCAGTTCATCTGACCAAGGAACAGGTACATGAGGGGCTGCTCCTGAGGCTGCTGCTACATCAGCTCTTTCTTGTTGATCTCGATCATGTTCTTGTCGTTTTTGTGTCACAAACAGGATTGCTTCAGGACTAGTCACTGTAGCTTCTGGAAGTAAATCCATCCAAGACTCAATAAGTCTATTGCCAGTGAGTTGAAATCTAGTCATCCACTTCTGAAGATCCATGGTTCCTCTGTTGAACTTCATGAACTGCATGAAACGGTATAAGAACACGTTCTGGGCACCTTTGATGAAATGAGGTCGTAGAAATCTTTTGAAATAGTTCACTCCTTCCTGGGGATCCCTGAGCATCTCTCTATCCAATAGCCTCTTGTATTGTTGAGCATCTCCTTCCAGTCGATTGCGCAAGGCTGGACCACGTTTCTCTGGTTCTAACTCCGTGATGTCACACCAGTCATCAATTGCATCTTCAAAAGCAAAGAAGCTAGTTCTCCCATCATATGCTGGAGCTACCTTTGTGGTCATTTGTTGCGTCATGTGAATCTGTGTCTGCTGGGGTGCTCTTCTCATTGCATAAGAGTCATATTGGTTCCATTCATTGCATCGACAATGTCGAAGTCATCATCATCATAGCCATGGCGTGCCATTGCTTGGGCTCTACCTGGAGCTCACCCTCAATGAGGGATCACTGCTCCGCTACCACTTGAAGAGGGGCCCTAGCGTCTACTTCAAGATCAGCTAAGGCGTCTTCCCCAATGACAGCACTCTTTTACTCTCAGCCTGTTGCCGGTCAGTGCTTGTCTACAGGGTTACTCTATATACCTCTTGAGCCTTGAAGGGCGCATATAAATGTGCTCAATACTCATGCATAGTACCTGGTAGGTATTAGGTCGAACAAGGGGGGGGTGACTTTGATTCAGACGAAGCAAAAACGCGCGGGAAGAGAACAAAGGAACAAGTACAAGCCAAGAACAGAAACAAGTACAAAACAAGAACAGACACAAGAACAACACCTCACAATCAGACACGCCGGCAGGCCGGCGGATTCCTTGGTCAGAATGGCACCTACATTGGAGGTACTTATATAAGGTCTATGTAAGGCCTATGTAACACATGACCAAATTAGAATACTTGAGGTACTAAGGTATCATCCCAACAATATGGCCAAACCCAGGCCCTCACGGACGCGCCTGGGGCTCCTGGGCGGCCTTCAGCATGCACCAGCTCTCTGTTGTCGTATGGAGGCGCTGGGCGAAGGATGGGATGGATGTTGGAGGTATGGAATAAAGGTTTTAAGCCATTTACATCACAAGTTACTGGATATGTATATATATATATAGATAGATAGATAGATAGATAGACAGACAGACAGATAGATAGATAGATAGATATGATGATGATACTGTGGATGGTTAAGAAATCCTGCACCACCAAAAGGATGGCTGAACCCCTATAAATAATGGGATATTTACCACCTATCAACTGGTGCAGGATTTCTTCCATCCACCGTATGATTATATATATATATATATATAGATATGTATGTTATATCCACATGTTTCAAGCTTCTGGTTAGATGCCGCAGCTCATGATTTTGGATACCCCTCATGATCTACGAGTAGCATCAGTAGAGCCCAAATCGAGGTGGACCCCCTCTGGTCGCCATCAACCACCCATCGACCCTAGCGGAGGCAGCATATCTTAGTGACTTTGCTGCTGAAATCCAGATTTTTACGGGTGAAATGAACCACTTAACTATTAACAACTCACTCTAAATCCCATTTTTTTTTGAGTAAATCACAATTTTTCCTGGTCAACCGCCGCCTTTTTTGAAGGCCTGGTCTATCATGGTCGTTCCCTGGACTTTGAGCCTCGGGATCCTATTGCAGAGACCACGGTGGTGGTGCGACACAAGTGGCGTGGAGAGGTGTGGGTAGAAGTGGTGGTTTCCAAAGTCATGGGGGTACCCCTAAATCATCCATAAATCATCCAATTTTATAGTAGGATTTTCAAGCAATCATCCAATTTAGATTGGGATTTTCGATGAAATAATCCGCATCCAGCGAACTTGGGGTAGCCCCACGACTGGAAAGCTGAAAACTGTCTGTGATTACGGCATGGGGATGGGTTGGATGGGACTACACACATGTTTTTGGGTGGAAATGGACGTGTGGGGCGTTGCACCGGGGTGCTCTAGCTGTGTGAGGCCCAGTACACCTGTCTGCAGCCCTTGGTTTCCTGGCTTTGCTACCTGTTTTTTGTTTGGTCAAAATGACCAACCCTCGAAATTCACCATGGTGTTTTTGGAGGAACCATGATCATTTTGACCCATAACCAGTTGATTTTTGGTTTTTCCCAAGAGCAAAAACCACCAGAACTGGAAAGTCGCAAGGGGGTGGGATCAGCAAATCCAAGGTTTGGACCACGGCCTTGCAATGGTTCACCTGTGTGCGACCGAAGGCCTTTTCCTTGTCCGTCAACGCGCGTGCGCAGGGCATTTACATGGAGAGCAACTCATCGTTTGAGGAACTCTTAAGGCGAGTTGGATCTGGAGCATACCTGCTAGGCGGGGTGGATGCTGCATCACCGAGTTGCCCATGAAAAATTGCAATTTCCTAGCCAATTTGTAGCTTGTTTGAGGCTATTTTCCCGATTTTTGCAGATAAATCCGTATTGCGGTTGTTTATGGTTCCAAATTTTTGACTGGTTACAGTAACTAAGGTTAAACCCACATTTTTGCTGGTTCAAAGAGTGATTGGATCGTTCTTTTCATCATTTTCATCACATAGGTGAGATTGCCGAAGAAGCTATGGCGGCCAAAAGCTATGACGAAGCCTTGCAGATCTTGAGTCTTGCTCCGGTGGTGTCGTCGAATTATTTCATCCTGGCCGGGGTCGATGGGCAAGGAGCGGCGGTGTAGGCTTCGGAGCCGAAAAACTTGGGCCTGAAAATGCGGGGTTTATGATAATAAACTCTGGTTGGTGGTTTGGAACCTTTTTTTATTTTTCCATATATTGGGAATACGAATCCCAACTGACGAGCATATTTTTCAGAGGGGTAGGTCAACCACCAACCAGAAACGCTTGGGAATGTGATAGGCAATTGAAGTTGCTGGTGACCCCAACTGGGTTATTCTGATAGGGAGCATTGATGATAAACCACAGGATGGAATGGGGTACCCTATTTTCAGAGAAACACACGTTTTTGAGTGCAATTTTTGAAACCTACAAAAATGTGGCGTTCACTACAAATTTAACATACAGTAACTTGGTTTATGGTGGTTACAACTGGGTTAGAAACCGATTTTATAACTAAGGGCACCACATTGTTTATATACATATGTATAATTATGTATATATATATACATACATACCTTGTAATCACTATCTCCAAGATAATCTTGCTGCGCGCTGGCAGCGCTGGCAGCGCTCAGGAGCTGTGATCACTCGTTTCGGGAATTCTTCGTCTGCTGATGCCACTGTCCGCTGAAAATTCTGTCCGCTTTACCCACTTTTTGTCTGGGTCACGAGTTCATCTATTTACATTTTAAGGCTTTCCATCATATCTTAGGGTAGAACATGATGGAAACAGATAAATGTAAATAGAAGCAATTAGAAAACTACATACTCATTTACTGATTAATATTATCGAATGGTGATATTACCATTGATATTACTAATCACCATGATTTGCATGATATTACTGATATTACTCATCAACACTAATCACCATTTCACTATTTCACCATGAAAGCCACTGAGGTATGGAGCCTCGATTCCTCCAAGGTAACCTGTGACGGACAACCCCCCTGGCTCCGGGTGCAGACCAATGTGGATCATTGGGTTTTCTCAGCTGCGCTGGGTACTCCATAGTCATTTAATGGGATTTCATGGGATTTCATAGAGATTTCATGGAATTTTATAGTTTGTTTTTGGGGGGTTTAATGGGATTGAATGGGATATATGATGGATACACTCTGGTAATTTCTTACGCTATGCGAACTGGACAATCAGAATTTTTAACGGTAAATCATCATGTTTATCATCGAACAAAATGGGCAATGGCTTCCATAGCTTTTTGACAAATAACCAGAGGTTTTCCAGCGACCGTTTTATGTTTCTGTGTGGTCCGAGCTACGTCTGAATGGGTAGCATGGGATTATAATATATTATAACCCTCATCAGTCCCATCAGTTCGGATACCCTCTGGTAATTTAACATAGCTATTGAAAATGGCCATTTATAGTGGATTTTCCCATGAAAAATGGTGATTTTCCATAGCTATGTTAAATTACCAGAGGGTAACCCCTACAACTATGGTTGGTTATATATGCATATACACACTAATAATATGCGCTAATTCAACTGTTTGCTATGGTATAGACGGCCCACTCAATTCGCTGATTTTTCATTAAATCAAATGATGTTCCATAGCAAACTATAGAAATGCGAAGATCATCCAAAATAACCAGGGGGGTTGAAAGCACCAACCAGCTGATATAAATGTATATATATATATATAGAATCAATTATGATTATATATACACGGAACTTTCCATAAATAGGGGATCCCAAAATGGATGGTTTATAATGGAACATCTTATAAAAAATGATGATTTAGGGATACCCCATGGTATCTCAATTTTTGGCAACCCCCATGTATACATATATATATATATATTTATATACACAGTTTTTTATTTGCACTTAGATTCCGAGCCTCCTAATATTAAATCGATCAAGGACCAGGACGCGAATAGATCCAGCACTAAACCAGTTTTTTTTTTTTTTAAAGAGGTATTTAATATTACATAGTAAGCGAAAAACCACCACAATTTTTTGCAGGGAACTGAATGAAATAGATCTGGAAGTCTTATCATAGGGCAGGATCGGTTCCTTTTATAAATGTCCGCCAATGAGAGGGTCATGAACCAATTCAATTTTTCTCTGAGGTTCCATTTGGTGAGAATTACGCCACACATCGTCGGCAACATTTGGTGAACATGCTCACAAGCAGCTCTGGTGTTCCCAGCAAAGATCAATTTCTTCAAGCATATTTCGTGTCCAACGCTCTGGAAGGTTCCGAAAATCGTACCCAACCAGAAGATACTGGTGCCATTTTGCGGCCCACCACCATTGCCACCATCATCCTGAATCCGAGTGAGCAGCCTGACATGCGGGACTGGTATATTTGGAACGAATCGGCCAAAATCTTGCCTCCTGTGTCTGAACAGGTTATTTAAGGGTTGTATCAGATTCCTTGGACAGCTCTATTTAGCTGTTTTTGGGGCGGAGGACTTGGCCCGTTAAAAGAGGCCATCCTCGACGAGCTTTGAGCGATCTCGATCGGAGACAGCCCTGTTAAAACCTCCAGACCCTGAGGCGAGGACAAAGAAAAAAAACAACGAGGTATCGAGAGGGAGTTTGTCTTCAACATGTGAATGTTGTCAGATGAGAAATTTTCCAACCGATTGCCAAATATGCCTTCCGTCAAGAGTTGGACTGTATACTGGTATACAAACTGGTATACCGATATTGGGGGATGGTCTTTGCTCACCAATATCATCGGGATGTCAGCAGAGCCATGAAATGTTTGGATTCCCACGAAATGGGATGGATATGGATGGATGACCATAAACCACAAGCCATCTTTTGATGGCATGGTAAAGTCAACGCCCCCGCAAGGCTGGCATTTTTATCTCCAACGACTGGAGATCTGTCCTTCCAAGATTCATATTTCCTGTGGTTCATGAGGGCGCTTCCGGTTCCAAATCTTCCATGCACAAATCCTGGAATAGCTCTCTAAAACTCTTGGACATGGGTTTATGGCACAGGGATAGTCTGTCAAGCTCTGATTCCATTCGATGGCTAAACAAATACCATGGCCAGATTTGATGGTCATTTGACATTCTTCCGACGAAACGACAGGGATTGGACAGTAAGGGTATGGCGCCATGCCCGTTGACTTAGGTCAGCACACCGCAAGGAAATTGAGATGTGAATTTGAGGAAATCATAGGAAAACTTCCAGCCATCCGATGCGAATTTGTCCATCAATCGAGGTGTATCATCATTTTCCCTTCAAACTACCATTTTGGGGTTTGTGTGCCGTAGTCGAAACATCGTTGATTCTCTCATAGAAGTAGAGGTCAATATACCCATTAGCAGGAAACCCTAATGATGGTGGGATGTCCATAACCCACACATGATGTTTTGAAAATGCATGGGTAAAGTGTAAAATACATAAATAAACAAATCAACACGTAACTACATTAAAAATACACACATAGATAGATAAACACGTAAATAAATAGATAGATTAAAACATAGATAAATAAATAAATATAGATATATAAAGAAATAACAAATATAAACATACAAACAAACGAACGAACAAACAAACCAACAAACCAGCAAACCAACAAACCAACAAACCAACAAACCAACAACCAAACAACCAAATAACAACAACATAAATAGATAATTAGATACAGAAATTGACATAAATCAACACACACACATATATATATACACACTGTATATGTAAAACTCTGAGACTATCCCACTACATCCCCATAATGGTGTACCCACAGTTCCACCCCCATATTTTCATGAGAAATACCCTCTGGTTATTTAACATAGCCATGGAAAATCGCCTATTTATAGATGGTTTACCTATTGAACATGGTGATTTTCCATGGCTATGTTAAATAACCAGATGGTAACCAAACGTGAGTTTCCGAACCCCGTTTTTCAGGTACACCACACGCACGGCCATCAACACGTCCGCGATGAAAGGCGCGGGGGATGCGAAGGGAGGGACCAGTTGGGACCAGTTCAGAACCCAGAGAAAGACGGTGGTGCTGAAAGGTGAGGATTTACCCGGCCTGGTAAACATACAAAAAGCTATTGAACATGGCCATTTATAGTGGATTTATTCATCAAAAATGGTGATTTTCAAGTTAAGTTAATGTAATGGTTTCTTAAAATGGAGGATCCATAGATGTCCTTTTCCCATTGGTTGGTTGATTAATAGAGGGGGTTGAAGAAACCCCTTTAACAACAGGTAAATGATGATAGATGGTGAACCAAACCGGCCCAAACCTCTTTTTACCAAAAGGACAATTATTGGCCAAACCTATTTTTACCAAAAGGACACTATTGGGAGGATCCCCAAGTCACCATAGGGTTTGAATCTTCAAATGGTTGAACACCTTGGATGATTTAAAGGAATTTGAAGTTACCACCATTTTAGGAGACCTCCATATATCATATAACTGGGTTTCTATTGGTCTCTTGCAATTTTCATGTTTTTTTAATGCTGTAAATATAATGGGACATGGTGGAATATGACGGGATTTAATTTGGTGGGGGGTTGCTTTTCGATCTTTTTGGGGGTTGCTGTAGTATAACTGGGGTTTATTGTGATTAGAACAGGGTCTGCATTTCTGGGATAATGATTATCAAGTCTGAAATAAAAGGGATACGTAACGAGGAGGTGCCGCCTGGCGATTACCAAAGAGATGGGATGGTCAGCCTCTGGCTATCCCACCATCATGAACGGGGTGGCCCCACGTAATGGGCCTTTCTTACCCCCAGGAATGGGCTGATGGTGCTTGCTGGGAAGGATTAAGTCGATTAAGTTCTTCATGGCAATTGACGGGAATAGATTATGGGATTATCCTTGACAAAATAGCAACCTGGGGAATCTGACTCCGGAAATTTCTTCAGAACCTTTGATAAACCATGAGATTTTGGTCTCCTATGGTCTCCTCCCCAGTAGAAGTAGAAACCAATGTGGTAAGCCTAAGAATGATAAACCATACCACATTTGCCACAATTTACAGTTTGAGGATAAATCATACCGCTCAAATGAGCTATTTGACAAAGCACATGAAGGGATCGAATCGAACCAAGCCAACTTTATGACGGGAGCGCCACGATTGGAAGATCAACGTCCACATTTTTCAGATGATTCTCACATAAATGGAATCCACGATCATGGGATACACCAACTATACAGTGAATGATGTAAGGAACAATAATAATTAATGTAATTCACAATGTCCCATAGTCCATTAATGTCCATTATATCTTATGGAACATGTGCATTTCCCACTTCCAAGACTTCTACCGTTGGCTGCAAAGAGGATAGTCTCAAATTTGATCATTGATCACCCAATGTGAGGCGTTGTCTCCGCATCGTGAGACAACGCCTTTTTTGGTGAGATGCTAAAGTGGGTTAACCAATATCTAACCAAAAAACCTGATTGAAGCTCATGAAATCTCCAAATCTCCCCATAAACTTTCAGTATCCAAATGAATCCCATCCCCCTCATATGAAAAACCCCTAAAATGAAGAGATCCAATCCTCCACACTTTCCGAAACCGGGAAGGGAAGGGATTTTTTCCCTCCCGTTCCCTCTAAACCGGCTCCGACAGACTGCAGGAAGAGCTGGAGAGATCTACCGGATTTGCCATCACATTGGTCGGAAGGCTCCAAAATGGTCACTTTTGGCTCCAAAAATGCTCCGAAAACATGGTAAAGGCCTATACTAATCCCCCATTCACATTAAAACCACACCTAGAAACTATAGTTTTTTTGGTGGAATGGAGTTCTACATTTGGGACCATCGAATAGGGGTTAGTAAATATGCATTAATATGCATTAATAAAAAAAAAATCCACAGAAGTTTTTTCCCATTTTTCTTCGTGAAGTCCCAAAAAAATTCGGTCGCACGCTCCAGTCGCCCAGCCATGAAGAAACCATGGGAGGATTTGATGGATGTCCAGGAGGAGGATGTAAGTCTTGTGAACGAGCCAGATGCTGAGATGGTGCACCAGTGAGAATCTATAGCTAACTATAACAAAAATATACAAACATTAGGGTGCTAACTATAACAAAAAGGGCTAAGTTAGCTATATGTATAAGTTTCTTACGTTGGCCATGGTCCAAACAAAAACTACATAATAACAATAGTTAGCTAATGGAATCTATAATTATTAATATATCTGAGCTAAGTTGGTCTAGAACTCTAATATTGGCTAGCCAAAGGGTCCAACAAAAAGGCTCCCAAAAACGCAGTTTTTTTGGTAATCTTTTAGTATTGACCCATACCAATGTGGCTACGGATAAATTCCTATGATGAATATGTACAATTTTTGGGGGACGGACATACATAAATCCCATGTATATTGATGTGAACAGAAGGTATCAGGGTTTTGACCCACAGCCATACACAGTAATTGGGGTTTCTGCTAGTTTTTTTTTAAATGATAGATACCCTCTGGTTATTCAACATAGCCATGGAAAATGGCCCGTTTATAGATGGTTTACCTACTAGAAATGGGGATTTTCCATGGCTATGCAACACATAACCAGATGGTAGATGGGTGAACATAAACCACTTCTACTTGGGGGTAACAGATTGTAGATGTGGACAGATCTCTTGAATTGCCGCAGCTGGTTCTTGTGCATCAGGTCCATGAACGCAGCTAGTCTCAACAAACATATCATCCTCATCCTCATCATCATCTGGTTGGTGGTTTGGAACATGAATTTTATTTTTCCATATATTGAGAATAATCATCCCAACTGACTTTCATATTTTCAGAGGGGTAGGTCAACCACCAACCAGTCATCATCATCATCATCATCCTCATCCTCCTCCTCCTCCTCATCCCAGTTCGTCATACCCCGTTTCAATGTTTGCCACCTTGCTGCCACCAATGGCTGGAACCCCCAAGGCATGGCTTGAAATTTTTCTCTGCACAGCCTGCATCCTCAGCGCTCTGTTGAGCTGGCTGCGTTCTCTGGTTGAGGGGGGCCATTGGAAAATGGGGAAAACGATGGTTCTTAAACGTTTATGAGGTTGGAATTGGGCTACCCATTTTTTTTTGATTGGGAGCTCAAGAGTCTAAAGAACTATGAACATTACGAAGATCACAACTGGTAGATTCATAGCGATGAAGATTGTAGGCTCCATTAATGGTGGAGTATGACGATTTTCCAATGACAATCCCAAGAGTTCTTCAAGTGTATGATGACATGAAGTTTCAACCAATGGTTACGCAGTGCTGAGAGTTGCGTTTGGAATCGCACGAAGCCTTCATGAAGGGGATTCTCAGTCGGAACTTGAAACAGGAGTCCATCCATAAGCCATAACCTAATCATCAGTCGATGGTGGGTAAAAGTCTACTCGAGGGTGCAGAAACTAACGGCCTAACTATGGTGATCACCTCCATAAAACTATTGTTACACATAGTATGATATAGTATATGTATTCAAATGGGTATGGATCAATACCTATTAATACCATTTTTAGGGGGATGAACATCCATTTACCAGCTATTTTGATGTTCACTGCCAAATAAAACCCCAACCGCATTGCAGTCGGCAGTTTCGCAGTCACAGATCTCTGTGTTTTAAGCCCTGAATCCTTGGGATTTCCGCCGGGAAATTGGGTGATTTGTGGCGGGAAAAATAGGGAAATCCATGGGAACAATGGGAAAGCTATGGGAAATCTATGGGGAAATCTATGGGAAAAAGCTTTTCTGATGGAATGTATATCCCAGGTCCAATGAGACATGGCTGTGGGTCAAACTTGGAGTTCCAGGGAACCAGAAACGTTGGTTATTTTTAGGGTGGTATCGTTGAAACATCCAGCTTTAGGTAGCCAATGCTACCCACATGCAGTCATGGACCCGGACTGACCTAAGGTTTTCCCCTGGCCCATTGGAAATTCTGCGAGACGGCATGCTTGAATTCTACCAGTAGACTACTGACTATGTATACAGCCTCACCAGCATCGAGAATATATTCTAAAAGATGGAGATGGATCAAATATGATTAAAAAAATATGGTTCATAGATGTTCATAGTGTTTGGTGTTTGGGGATCTCTGGGGCTTCTTTATTTACACCCATCAACACCAAGGATTTTGGCAATTTTTCGGACCGCAGTGATCCCAAAAAAACCGCCACCAGGGCTGGTGAGATCAGTCACATCGGAGAAGAATGGATGGAGGGTCTGGACTGCAGGCGGGGTTCCCGGTGGCTGAAAAACGGTGGATTTGTTGCCCAACGCATTTGGCGAATTCGAAGTGAGTTTTGTTCCAAAGAAAACTTGGACTTCGATTTTCGACTTTGTGGAGGTTTGATTTCGAAAATTCGACAGTTGATGATGTTGATGGCTGTCCCACAGGTTTTTTTTTGAGAATCAGAGTTGCATGGGGATGTTTGTAATGAAATAATCCATGGTTCATAGGGACTCCCCTTTTTCACTCATATAAACCCGTTTTTGGGGATGTTTTTTGGTCCCAAAAAACCGCACAACTGATGGGTGACTCGTGGTGAATGTCGTTGGTGAAGTCCTTTGGCTCGGCTGCTGCTTAAGCGCGCCGTGTCCTTTCGCTTAGCGTAGCACATTTCGTGTCGGGGCCCAGAACTGTCAGAACTGTGGAGAGCTTGGTGATCTGAGGCATTACAGGGGGGGTATCATGTATAATCCATCCCCGGTAGGTGTATGGCATTGGGTTGCCCACAGAAAAAACCATATGTTTTTTTTTTCTGGTTATGAACCCCCTCCAGAAGTTGGGATATAACATGATATAACATGATATAACCCCTTTTTGACTATGGAATACTATGGATATCCACCGAATGTGGCAGGAGTTTCCTGGCGACTTTTTGGTAGTTGAACTGCAGCTATCATCCCGTTAGGGCGTTAGGGGTTTGAACGGCCCATGGATGATTTATCGATAGCACATGTTGAGTTCAAACTGGGGGGTTGCCTCTTAAAACACGGTGATTTTCCACTTCGCCATGTCATAAAAATATATAAAAATCATAAATTCTCAGAGGGTACAATAGCATCATCGAGCACCGAGGCGGAAAACACCATGCGCTTTCTGTTCATCGTAGCTTTCCTTGACTCCCAGCTGATGGCTTTTGCAGTGGAAGCCACCGTGCTGATGCAGTCGAGGCCTGGCATAGCGGCATAGCGCTATTGGAAGTATCGAAATCTGCAGATTTTCAGAGCTCCCGAGTGTCCTGAACGATCTTAAGATATATGATATATATATATATATTTATATAATATATATATATATATGTATTGTATGAATGATCGAAAAATCATTCTACGGTTTAGATTTCTGAGGACACGTGAAGTAAAAGGCGCGTTTGTATTCATGAAATATAGGCCTTCTGTAAGATTCCTGCCCAAGTAGCGTGCTATGGCATGCTAAGCGGCGATCCGTTGAACTTGGAAAATTGTGGCTTATCCAGATTCATTCATTTGGCAGTGTGTCAAAACCTTGTACCCCTGGTGAACATCAAAATAGCTGGTAAATGGATGTTCATCCCCCTAAAAATGGTATTAATAGGTATTGATCCATACCCATTTATGTTCATTTATGTTCATCTATGTTATTTGGTGTCCGTATCCCAGCAGTACAAAACGCCCACGGCCCAGAATATATTTTCCATGTATCTGGGCGGTGGCTGGGGAAGAATTTTGCCAGCTACCCTCTGGTAATTTAACATAGCTATTGAAAATGGCCATTTATAGTGGATTTTCCCATTAAAAATGGTGATTTTCAATAGCTATGTTAGTTTACCAGAGGGTATCCTCTGGTTTCATCTTTTAACTGTTTGCAATGGAAAACGATCTGTTTGTAGATGATTTACCTATTGGATGTTAGACTCACACGAGAGGGTCCATGTTACCCACTTCGGCTCGAAAAACATCAGGCTTCGAGGTTCGAAAACCTCAATATCCGACGAGGTGGGGGTGCAACCGTAGCAGCGGAGAGGCTTCATCGGCCTGGGGTCCCCCAATATTGACATATACGAAACTAAGCATCATTGAAGTAAATTAAACTATAGATCCTGATGTAGCATACAGATGGGTCAGACTTCAGTAATATCATCAAATATCATCTTAAGTCTGATATGCTCAATATTTATCAACTTTTCATACTTACAAAAATGGGGTGATACTCCCGCCCAGGATCCCCCGGTGGGAACTCAGCGACTCGGCGACGGTTAACACTTTCGGATGAAGTGCTACGGCCGTTTCAGCTCCAAGTTTCAAGGGTTTACCATAGGAAAATGGGCTATGGAAAAGTTACCATCTGGTTATTTGTTACATAGCTATGGAAAATTGCCCACTCATAGCCCATTCATAGATGATAAAAGTATATAAAAGTGATGAATTACTTCCGAAGTACATGGCGATTTTCCACTTCGCGAAGCGTTAAATCACCTTTGAGGGGATGATCCTCCAGGAAAAACTGGTCGAACTGGTCACCTGGTTTTTAAGGAGAACTTTCGAAAGCAAAAAAGTGTCTGGTTGGTGGGTTTTCCCATAAAAAATGGTTAATTTACCAGAGGGTACCTTCTAAATAGCCATTGAACATGGCCATTTATAGTGAGTTTTCCCATTAAAAATGGTGATTTTCCATAGTTGGGTTAGTTTACCAGAGGGTAGCTGGATATGGATAACTGGATACCATAGCTGGTTGGTGGTTTGGACCATGAATTTTTTATTTTCCCCAATGGCTGGGAGGATGATCCAATCTGACGAACGCATTTTTTTCAGAGGGGTAGGTCAACCACCAACCAGGTGTCCTGGAAGATCTGGAACTCCGATGAAATTGGCGAAGACCGCCTAGTTCCAAAAATAGTTTTTCCCTAAATCGATCCATTGATGGTGAAGACAAGGCGGCATCACTGATTCGCAGTTCAGTGGATTGTGGTTTCAAAGTTTGGTCACTGTCTGTGCTGATCAGTAGCCAGTTCAGCCTTGATGCTTGAACGTTGTAGCTAGTAGATGTGTGTTTTCAAACCTCAAAGCATGACTTGTTTAACAAGGCTTTTAGTGGTGCCCTGGTGCCCCATGAGCATAGGTTACACTCTGGTAAACTAACATAACTATGGAAAATCACCATTTTCAATGGGTAAAGCAACTATAAATGGCCATTTTCAATAGCCATGTTAGTTTACCAGAGGTTAACTGGGGCAATTAAGTAGGTAGATACACTCATTTAGTTCGATGATTTTCCCATCAGCACACCTGCATTTAGTTCGGGGATTTCCCAGCTACCCATGTTTGATTACCGGAGGGTATCATCAATTGTTTGCTATATCCCATAATATCCTGTAAAAAAATCAAGAGAATCCCATAACATCAAGCTAGCTATTGGTTCATAACCAATAGCTAGCAATATTTGATATATGTATATATCTATATATAATATTACACTGATATATATAATATATACATATATATATATATAATCATATTATACAATGGTCTATAATCATAAAACATTGGTCTATATCTATATACACCGTATATCTATATATACATAATCATTGGTTTATGGGGATTATAGACCAATGTTTTCTTGGGCGCAGCAAAATGGTGTCTTCGGATCCAAGTTTTCAGGTCCTCCGTGGAGGTTGACGCTCTGCCAGCCTTGCGCTTTTTGGCGGAACTCGATGGATTGTTTTTTTTGGAACTCGGTGGGATTTTACCGATATATGGAAAATATATATATATGGAAAATATATGGAACACATATCTGGTTGGTGGTTTGGAACATGAATTTTTAATTTTCACCAATAGCTGGGATGATGATCCAATCTAACTCATATTTTTCATAGGGGTTGAAACCACCAACCAGAATATATATATATATATTAGCAAGAATATTATCAGTATATCATATGTGATTATGTTATCAGTGATAATGATGTATACACTGTATGTGTGATAATATGTTATGATAAGTTGATTGCCTGATACTATCTACTATATGCAACCTGTTGGGGCTTTTACTCAGTGAATTATCGGGGGATTTTGAGCGGATTTCACTCATATACGGGATGGACATTTGCATTTCAGAAGCACACATTTGGTATTTCACGAATGTCGTTACAAGATTATGTGGCGGCCAGGTTTTTGCTGGTTTTGTTTGTTTTTGTTGCTTTGATTTTTCCTGATTTTGGCCAGGGAAAAATCATGTTAACGTTAGGGAAGAATCACATTTTTCGGCCGTTTACATCCTTTAAATATCTTTAGATCACCCTTGTTGCTGTTCAAAGATGTTCTTTCAGTGACCGTTTCCGCTGCCAAATCCAGTGGCCATTTCAGGCTTCAGCGACGATGATGAGTCCTGCACCACTGAAGGTCGGGTTGCCCAAGTGGTGGCAATTTCGGTTGCATCATGAAGCCATTTTGATGGAGATATAGGGTATACACCGTATCATTTTGATGGGAAAAGATATAGCTGATATATTGATATGTTGGGAATATAAATGGTATAGGCTATAGGCTATATATATAATATACATACATACACTTTAAGCGGTAAACATGGTAAATTAATTTCTGGAAATGCAGTGAAATAAGTGGCGAATGATCACTGTATTCGGGGTTGCAACCCCAATACAGGAAGGCCCTCCTACATTCGATAGGTAAGTTGGTAGATAAGTTTATAAGCAGGCCAACTGTTGGACTTTGGGTGGCTATATCCAGCTAGTTCGAGAGGGTGCAATGGTTTGGGGTTTAAAAGAAGTACTGGAGTTGTTTCACAACTTCTAAAACGGGATATAGATTGATCTGGGTACCCTCTGGTAAGTTAAGATAACTACAGAATATCAGCATTCTAAACGGCAATTCATCTATAAACGGACCATTTTCCATAGCAATGTTGACTTACCAGGGGTATGGATCAAGGCGATCGAAACGTGAATTGACCCATTCCCATCCATTCCCGTCGACTCTGAGTCTCACGTCTGCTGCAAAATTTCGCTCTGAAAAGCGAGGGAAATCATCCTTTGATCGATCTTCAATCTATCGACCGTGCGTTTGCAAATCTCGAGCTATGCTTCGCCAAGTTGCCTTGATCTTCACTGTGACTCGGGCTGACAACCGGGCGTTTCAGTATGGGACGTGACCCCCGATGATTTAACATTGGATGACAGCAATGCTTCTGCCACGGTTTTACGATGTGTTTGATGAGTGTTTTGTCGGAAGAATTGCTGTTTTGTAGGTAGTTTCAACATTCATATATTTGACATGAGACAGTAGGCTGACGGGTTTGGCACGTATGTTTTGTGCTCAGCCGTGCGTCTTTCCATAGAGACACAGAGACACCCACCCACCAACCCACCCACCCAGCGTCAGACACACATACACACACCCCACTTGCAAGCTTCGGTGCCTTTTGGATTCATCCATCGTCACTGGGAAAGCAGTTGGTAAAACCCTTCGTAAAACCCCAATCACTCACCATCAACAACTATTTCTGGATGGTTAGACCCTGAAGAACCATCAACCACTGGGTGTTTTGTGCGCTGCTCATTTCGTTTAACTGACCATATCTAACGGGCAAGTTGGATCCTCATATTGCTGTATCAGATCAATATCCCAGGCCGGTTAAGCCAGGTTAAACCACTATTTTCAATGGTTAAGCCATGCTGAACTCCCGGGCGGCCTAGGTGTTGTGCGCTGAGCTGGGCCTTGCGGCACGTCACCTGGGCGATATTTCGCTGCACGGAGGAGGCGATGCCAAAGCAGAAGCCGCGGCGGCATGCGAATTGATGGAGAAAAACGAGCCCTGGCAGTGATACTGTGGAGGAGATAAGTATGAAACACTATTAACCAAATTATGAAACCAAATTATGTTGATTCAATGGGAGCTGGGATATAAGTAGCCAACAATCTGAGATGTGGTGATTGGTTATGAACTAGGCACTTATACTAGCTAATGTATTGGGGATGATGATAATCCATAGTGTGGAAACCGTTTGGAACCAAAATTCGTATTTCATCAGATGGAAATTCTCCATTCGGAACCCAAATGGGGTTGCCTGAAAATGAGTTTTTTTATTCCCTTAAAAAGCCATTTGAATAGGGATAATGATGATTAACCAATGGATTTAGGGGTGAATCCTGTAGATTTTCAGATTCTGATATGATTCGCATGGATGGGATAACTATGATAGCCACTGGTAAATCATGGGATTATAACGGGATAAACCATCCACCAACTGGCATTGATGGAAGTCGGTCATTGTTACATGGGCTAAAACGGTTAGAATGATATTCATTATCATGGGGACACTTTTAGAAAGTACTTAGAAGATGATATCATAATTGAACGTTGTAATTCACTGACAAAATGGAATGTCATCAACTGAAACAATAAAGTGGCAATGTCTTATCACCAACTGGAATGATGGCTTCCGGTGAATCGGCGAATCTATTTTCAGATTGATGAAAGTGTATGGGTCATTGTTGCACATGGAAAAATACTGAGAAAATACTTCGAACATCATATGACTCCTGGCATTTCGATTTTCCCAACCAGAAATGGAGAATCTACTTGGGAATATCTTGGACAATAATGAGTCCTGAAATCATCATCTTTGGTTTATTCCCTAAGTTTTGTATAGGTAAATCATGGTAAATCCCCAAGTTTTTCCCTTTCTTTACCTTTTCTGGTTGGAACTTCCGTTCCGAGGCTTGCGAGAGACATATTTTTTTGGTGAATCGTAGCCAGAAAAGTGATGGTGAATCATCATCTCATTTTTTTGGGGATGGAAGAATACTTAAAACATACCAAACATAGAAAATCGAACATACCAAGAATACTTGATTTAATCATCAGATTTTTGGGATACTATAGAAAATCATATTAGAGTCCTGACAACGTTACCAGTTTATGATCGTTTATGGGGATATCATTGGGGATTGAACATCCACCAGCTCGACGATTTTCCCAAGGATTGCAAGTTCGGAAAGAAAAAGGCCTGGAGCGTCTCATGGGATTTTGGGGTTACCTATGGCTACCTTATTTTCAAACAAAAGCATATTCATGCTGTATAATTTACATCTAATATTAGATATATACACATAGGTGTGAAAACCGTTTTCCGTTTTCGTGGGTGACCGCGACAGAAGGGAAAGGTTGGATGAAAACAACATGATGAAAATCGTGGTTCGGTTCGGTTCAGTTGAGAGGCGCCTGAAGGCTTCAAGTGCGTCTGGATGTACGATTGCTACAAATTCGGCAAGAAGGAAGCCGGTCCTGTGGGGCATCCGTCAGAATCTTGGCCCCCCCAATGGACCATGTGTTTTTTCCGTGTTTTCCAATCGGTTTCAAACGGGTTCGCAGCTCCCTTGAGCCTTGTTTGTAAACCCACTGCAACGGGGTTCGAAGCCAAGAAGCCAAGCTTCTTCTCCGGAGTTGGTTTCAGAGAACAGGAGAAACCTTTGTACAGGGAGTAAGAACCATGGTTTTCCCCCCAGAAAAACACTGAAATCAATCCATTGAACGACTGAACGTGACAGGTGGTACTTGGCCATCATGGGGTATCGTCAAAATTGTAATACCCCATACTGGATAGTTAATTGTTGTAATTACAACGAGATGGTACCCCGCCAACCTGTACGCATGGGCCTTACATTTTGACGTGGTAAACCCCTAAACCATCCCATTCTCTCCCAATTTTACAGTCTTCCGCGCCTGGTACCATTAGTTGCTCGATTTTGTCCACTTCTCACTTTTTTTCCCCTCAGATTCATGGTCATGATCGCGAGCTCCTGGTTTTTCCTGGCTGATGCCTCTTTTCCCTTTCTGGCTCTGCCACCCAACTTCTTGTCCCTGCATATGGGACATGAGGATTGCCTCGCATGGTCCGTGCTTGCCTGACTGTTTCCCCTTTGTTTGTCCAGCATCACAGCGGGGCTGTGCGGATTGACTCGCACATGTCCAGGGCAGTGCTTTCTTTTCCACACCTCCCCATACGTGGTGGGTTGTCTTCAGCGATAGACACTCATATTTGTCAACTCTCATCTTGGCTTTGAGGGGCATTGTCCAAGTATTTTTTCAACCCTCTAAACCCCTAAACCATAGCCCAAGAGGGTATTTGATGCATTTTCAATAAACACGTATAAAAAATTATAAAAACGACTATGAAATTCATACCATGCCCATCTCAAAATGGGGTAGCCCAGATGATTTGCTGAGGACTGTGGCGCAATGAAGATGCAGGGGATCGGTGTTTGCTCGGCCGTCAGCTTGACGCCAAAAGTGGTACCTCCGCCAACGGATCCAACGGATGAAGAGACGGAGCTTCCGAGTGATGAGGATATTGAGGAGCTGGAGGACGGTTCTCGTTTTTTTTTTGGTTGTGGGGTATTCATTTATGTTTTTTTCTAAGTATACGTTTCTTTCCCCAAAATGCGATTCGGTTCTATGTTTTTGGTATTTTTAAGTATTTTCCATGCACGAAGATTGGGATGTCACGAGATATTTCTGGTATGTTCCATCCCTCAAAATGGAATAATATGATGTATTTTTTTTTAAAAGTATGTTCCATCATCCATCCCTGATTTGATGGATTTGGAAAACATGTTCCATTTTTTCTTTGGAAAATGATGTATTTCTGGTATGTTCCATCATCCCTGAAAATGGAATGTCTTCTTTTTTCCAAAGATTTGCCAGTGGTTTGAGACCCGCTGACTTGGATTCCAAACCACCGGGCCCCCAATAAACACGATTTTTCCCATATTTTTTTCATAGGTATATATGGTAAAATCACTGACATAACTATAGATTTCTGACCACAACATTACAAGGTGAATCATCGGACTGATGACTGGTCCATGTTTTTAATCACCAACCATATATATATATAATATTATATATATGATATCTTATAATCCCATCATATAACCATCATATAACCACTATTATTGGTATTATAACCACTATTATTATGATGGTTAAAACCACCAACCAGCTATGTTATGTTAGTTTCGCAGAGGGTAGCCGCTGAAAAGATGGGACGGTCCCCTTTTCGAGGACGAAGAGGAAGCCGACGTCCCAGAAGTCGTGACTGGACGGCAGCCTCTTATTGGGACGTCTGACGCTTCATAAGGATCCAATGGGGCTTGCAGTATGCTAGTAATAGTATTTAAGCCTATATATATAATATATATATAATATATAATATTATACATATATACATATATACATATACATATATATACAAATATCATTTAGATATGTATGTATATAGACATAATATACCCTTACCAGCCCTATTTTTTTCCATATCTACTTCTCTATATCCAGGTTCGGGGATGGGACCGCTTGGGGGAGGCCAGGCAGGTCAGGG